AGAAAAGGGTTTTCTGGGATGCAGAAAAGTGTTCCATGTGAGACCACCTGAATATGCCTGGTTTCTTGTACATACAACTTAATATTTAATTCTCAAAACATCTGCATGTGATGGGGACCTCTGAGCCAGTTTTATATGTGAGAAATCTAATACTTAGAGATGTTAAGTCACCCATTCAGCATCCCATGGCCAATTTTAGCCATTTCACTCAATCAGCTCTTCTGATATTAACATTCTGTTTAATTAAATTCTAATTTGGAGTTGGGGAAGGCTGGCCATTTTTTCCACATCCATTGTCCCAACCTGGCTAGTCTGAAAAAGAAAGCTCTGTTCCTCATTAGGGAAGGTCTGTGAAGTCCAGCTCAGCAGCAACCTTATAACACAGGCAAAGAAGAAGAAAAAAAAAAAACAGGAGAGAAGGGGAAACCACAGAACACTCTTGGAGAGCCACAAATGGCCTCCAGGCTCATCTCCTGAGTTAGAAATTAGGTCTTGGCTTTTATAACCTGGGCTCCAGGTTTGGGGTTCATCTCTGCCACTAAAATCCCATGTGACCTTGGTAAGTCCCTTTCCAGATCTGGGTCTTGGGTTTCCCTTCTACTAGTCAACCCATCACTTGAGTTTTGTAGCAACTATATTTTTCATGTCATGGTTCTAACTGGTTCTTATTTATATCTACTTGTTTTTGTTTTATAACCTCCTATTCTTCTTTTATGGCTATTATTCCATCCTTTATATTTTTGAGTAACTTGATCTATATTTGCACTAGATTTTAATATTGTACAGTATTCTCTATTTCCTCTGGTATCAGTTCTTCAAGTTGGGGAGTTTGTGGGAGCTTCATAAAGTAGTTGTAAATTTTTCATCTCTTTGAGAGTCCTCTGAGAGTGTGTGCTCTTGACCTCACATATTAGGTGGCACTGCACTTCCATGGGTGGGGCACCTTGCCATTGGGCACATCTGCTTTGGTTCTGCTTCCTTATCACCTTCCTGTCTTTTTTAAGTGTTTGGGGAGGAGGGAGGCAGTTTCAATGTGTATTTGATTCACCACCTTCAAAGGAAATCCAGTTTTGTCATCTATAAACTGACAGTCTTGTGTTGGGTGGTCTCTGAGGGTTCTCACAGAAATTCTCAACACAGATAACCACACGGGTATGGTCACAGAGGTCTAGTGGGAGACAGTTCTAATACCACCACCAACTATAAAAATAGCTGTGTGGGCCATTTTCTATTATTATTACCGTCTCTTCACATATCTGACCTTATTTGTTCATGACATCACCAATGGTGCTACTATTATCCTTGTCTTACGGATGACACATTGGAAGCCCAAGCACACTCAGCTGGAAAGGAGGATTTGAACCCATTTAGAGCAGGATTAAGCTCTTACCTCTCTTCACCCATTGCGTCATCCCAGCAGCTTGGGTGCTCATGTCAGCCCTGATCCATTATTATTAGTGCCATTTCTGGACACTTTTTTCCTCTGTTTATTTAGAGGTACTCAATAAACTCAAAACTGTGTCCCCAGCCCCAGCCAGCCAGGTGGCTCAGCTGGTTGGAGCATTGTTCAGTACACAAAAAGATGAAAAGCGTTGCAAGTTCCATTCCCAGTCAGGGCACACACTAGTACCTAAGTTTCTGGTATGGAAGGTGGCCGATCAATGTCTCTCTCTCTCTCTCTCTCTCTCTCTCTCTCTTTCATCAATAAACATATACTCAGGTGAGGATTTAAGCAACAACAAAAAAGACTGTGTCCTGTCCTAGCCGGTTTGGCTCAATGGATAGAGCATTAGCTCACAGACTAAAGGATCCTGGGTTTAACTCCAGTCAAGGGCACTTACCTCAGTTGCAGGCTTGATCCCCGGCCCTGGTTGGGGCATGTGCAGGAGGCAATCTATGTGTCTCTCTCACATCGATGTTTCTCTCTTTCTGCCTCTCCCACTCCCTTCCACTCTCTCTAAAAAAATCAATGGGAAAAAATGTCTTTTGGTGAGGATTGACAACAACAACAAAAGACTGTGTCCTCAGTGTAAGAAGTGGGAAAAGTGTGTTAGAAAAGGTGTGGGCTCTGGAGTCTGGCTGTGCTGACGCAGGCAAGTCACTTGACCTCTCAGAGCCTCGGTTAGTGGTGAGTGCAAATGGTGACATTATTGTGCCTGACACAGAGCAGGGGCTCCCTAAGCTTTCCTTGGAGGAAAGCAGACTACTAGTAGAGTATGATGGGGGATCATGAGCATTGATGCGTCAAGTTCCAAAAGTGTTTTCAGGGCCAGAAGGAGGAGAAGGTATTCATGGGCACAAAGAGAGAATGAATTCCAACATGGAAAGACTCCACGAAGTTGGATATTAGCTCTATTCCAGGGAGGCTTTCTTGACCTTGACAGCTTACCCAGCCTCACAGGGCTGACTTCAGAGTGAATGAGCTGCCTGCCATGCAGAGGAACCAAGCAGAGCTTTGATGGCCACTGGTCAGGGAGGCTGCAGAGGCTGATGGGGCGAGTTTGACTGGGCCATCTTTGGGGGATACCCTTTATCTGTTTCCTCACCCACTGGACACTGTTTCACAAGGAGCATTCCCTATCTCACACACCCCCCCCCCCCCCCATTAGCACGGCCTTTCTGTGACCACAGGAAGGCCCAGCCCAACCCTCACTGCGTCTTCTCTAAATAAACTCGGGCAGCTGAGCTATCTACTTCGCCATCTCCCTAGAGGTGTAGGAGGTGGTGGTTAGGGGACCTCTGGCCAAGCCACAGAGAGGAGTGACTCAAGCAGAGAGACAGCCTGTCCCTCCTCTATCTGACCATCTCCCCATGCACAGACTTCTTCTTTGGGCAACTGCTGGTTTTGAATTGGCTTAACAGAACCCTGTTCTGTGTCTCCCTCCCTTTCCAGCCCAGCTGGACCCTGGTCCAGTCATCACTGGGCTTGTCTGCACCCTATATGTCTTCTAAAGGCAGGTTGGTGCCTCCCCAGGGCCCTGACACGTGTCTTTGACCTCCGTGCTGATGCACATCAACTCCTGGGCTCTGGTCGGCATCCTTAAAGTTAGAATGGTGGTCAGTACCCTGTCTGAGGGCCCCCCAGGACAGGGCCAGGAGGGTGACAGGAGGATGCTGTGGCTACTGGGACAAGGGCGCTGAGTGAGAGCTGGTCTGGGGACTTACTTTGGCTGGGGCTCAGATGAGCTGTGAGGGTGGTGAAAGACCCAGGCTCAGCCCCCGAAGGAAGAGAGAACCCATTCAGGCTTATTGCACTCCACTCTCAGGGTCCTGCCCTTAAGCATTACTTTATCTGCTCATTTGTTCCTTCACTCACATTTCACTCATCCTTTTTTATAAAAATTAAATTTATTGGGGTAAAAATGGTTGGGGTGACATTTTTATCCAAATACTCATGCTTTCATTGATTCATGCAAAAACTATTCATGCATTCCTTGGCTCATCCAAAAATATTCATGCATTCATTGGTTCATTCTCAAAAACATTCACGCATTCACACACTGGTTTGTCCAAAAAAATATATTCATGTAGTATCTTCCTCACTTGTTTATTTTCATCCTCTGTGGGAAGATGGGTGTGAACTGAGCAATGCTTTTAGGAATCTAAGAGATTAACATTTTTATAAGCCTATGCCAGAATTCTAGGGTTGCAATCTGTGTGTGTTTGGGGGGAAGGAGGGTCCTCTCACATGACTAGGAGTTTTCAAGGGGGTCCAGGCATGGGTACTGTTTTCCACATGGCGACACCATTTTTCATTGCCACCAACAGTTCACAAGAGTTCTAATCTCTCCACATCCTGTCCAGCATTTGCTGTCTTCTGATAGTAGCATCAGGTTTGTTGTGAGGTGATATCTCATTGTAGTTTAGAATTGCATTTCCCTAATGATTAATGGTGTTGAACATTTTTCCATTGTCTTACTGGCCATGTGTAAATCTTCTTTGATAAAATGTCTCATCAAGTCCTCTGCCCACTTTTGAATCAGGTTTTTGTTGTTGTTGTTGAGTTTTAGGAGTTTTCTATGTGTTCTGGATGTTAATCCCTTATGCGATTTGCAAATATTTTCTCCTATTCTGTGGGTCGTCTTTTTACTTTGTGAATAGTATCTTTGATGTACAAAATTAAAAAATGTTTATGATGTCATGCTTGTGTATTTTTCTTTGTTACCTGTAGGCACAATATTACTTCTTTAAAAAAAATATCTGTCAGTGAATGAATAGAAAGTTAGATGGATGGATGAATGAGTGGATGGTAGACAGATGATTGTACGAATGGAGGGGGGATAGGTGGACATTTGAATGAGTGTATGGAGAGATAAATAAGGTGGTGGGTGGGTGGGTAAATGGACAAATGGGTGGATGGGGAGTTAGTTGGGGGGTTGGTAGAAGAATAGGCAAATGTAGAGTTGAGTGAGTGGATGAGTCTATAGATGACCTCATGAATGGATGGGCAGGCATAGAACTGGTCACAGATGGAGACCTTGGTACACAAATGGGCACAGTTCCGATAAATTGTGAATTATTTTCTGACCCCAACTTAACTTAGGTTAACTCTGGACAATTCTCTCTTTCTAAGTTCAGGCTTTCTTCTGCTCCCTCCAGAGCCTCTACGAACCTCACCCTGGAGCTCAGATTGAACTGTGCCCTTGGTTTGTCTGCTGACCTTCTCAGGGGTAAGAAGTTGGGAAGGAGCCTGCACCCTCCCAAAGGTTACAGTGCCCACTGGCCCTCCCTGATGACTGTGGTCGCCTTTCCCAGCCAGTGCCTTCTCTCCAGCAGCCTCATCCACACCTCCATCAGGCATCAAACCATCCCAGGAGCTCCCCTTCTCTCAAATACACCCCTCTCTGCCCCCACACTGGTCTCCAGACAGATTCCCATTGCACCTGCACCCCTCCCCCACTGGGGAAGGTGGAGGGTAACTTAGAGGGAGGGATCCTCCAGGTCAGCCTCCTGCTCCAGGCCAAGACATCTTCCCTGTTCCTCAGGTCCCCCAGGCAGCCATGGATCTGAGTCTCTTGGGCTTGCCAGATGCACTCCAAGGTCGCAGCAAGATCCTGCAGGGAGCGCGGGGCAGGGGCCCGGTCTTGCGTCGGCAGCGGGAGTTCCTGCCAGAAGAGAAGAAGGACACGGTTTACTGGGAGAAGCGGCGGAAGAACAACGAAGCGGCCAAGAGATCCCGGGAGAAGCGACGTCTCAATGACCAGGCCCTGGAGGGCAGGCTGGCCGCAGTGCTCCAGGAGAACGCTCTGCTCAGGGCTGAGCTGAAGGCTCTCAAGTGTCACCTTGGCCTCCTGTCTCCAGCTGGTAGCGCCCGGAGCCTGCCCTTGCAGGCCCTGCTGTGGGCGTCCCCCTGGACGGAACACCCCCTGCCTGGGGCTGGACCACTCCCATCTCTGCCTGGCTCCCATGGCTGCGTCTTGAGGCCGTGCTGCCTGGATGCTGGGGTTCCAGGATGCCAGGCCTGCCAAGTGGCTCACAAGTGGACTGGCCTGGCCACTTCCTCCAGGTTCCCCCAGGACCCGGCTCCCGCTGACCCCAAGAGAATGGATGTGGCCTTGCAAGCTGCCGTCCCAGCCACCTTCTTCAGCTGTCACATCCTGGGTGGGCATGGGGGACCCCCACCTGAGCTCTGGCCCTGCTGGGGGCTATGGTCTCCTGTGCAAACTGGTTGCCAGGCCTCGGGGTCCTCAGAGGTGTTACTGACATCCACTGCTGGTCCCATGGGGTTGCCATCCGGGATGGCCGGCTCCACCCCAGGGAGCCACCCCGAGGGTCCTGCTCAGCCCTCCCTGCCCCATAAACTGCGCATCAAGTCCCAAGCCACTGGCAGAGCACCTGGAGGCTGCAAGGGCGGCCCGGGACCCCTCTGAGGGCTTTCCCTGGGCAGGGCCAGGACTGCAAGGCCGGGGGGACTGTGGGAGGGTTGGGGTTGAGCATGGGTTATCTGGGGGGATGAATGGCTTGGCCTTGACCCAGCCCCTAGTACTGGGCAAGGCCTGTGAGAAGCAGGGGTGAGGGGCTGATTGGGGCGTCTACTTCTCAGTGACCAAGTCTCTAGAAGGAGGGTATGGGGTACTATCTTGGATCATACCATGGCTCCCGTCCTGTGTAAAATATGTGCTTTGGGTAATTACTTTTCCTTCCTTCCTTCCTTCCTTCCTTCCTTCCTTCCTTCCTTCCTTCCTTCCTTCTTCCTTCCCTTCCATCTATCCATTCTTCCATTTGTCTATTTTTTCATTCATTTATTCATTTAATCGCTCATTTTTGTACTCGTTTGTTTATCATTTGTTCATTGATTCAGTCTCTCATTTATTTACAATTCACTTGTCCCCACATCCACCCACTTATGATCTTTGTGTTCCTCCTTCTGTGCTCAGCGTAGTGACAAGTAGGAAGACACCCTCCTGGCTTTGGGGTTCCCGTTCTGGGGGTGGTGTCGATGGTTTGGGGACAAATACACTGAGGACCATGCTGAAGGAGGAAGGAATGTCTCAAGATGTCCCAATTCTCCTATCTTTGTGTTCTCTTGGCGGTTCGCTTGCCACCTACTTTGGGGATCAATACTCCTACTCCAGTGCCTGCCTCTGTGTCTTGGGTCAGGACTGTGAGTCACCGGAAGAGGTGGGCAGTGTCTGAGGGGGCCGTTTCCTCTCTCCCCGGCTGCTTACTGCCCAGCACACACACTCCCGATGGGAGAGAGAAGGGACCACTCTTCAGGAAAAGTTCCCCAGGGATCCCAAAGACCCAGAGCTCATCAAAGCCTTATCCCAACTCAGTTTCTCACTCGGGCCCCTCTCTTTAAAACAACAACAACAACCCATATAGTTTTAAAGCTCTTACTAGATCCTGGATAAAAAGAAGACCCAACTCCAATTATGGGCAGAGTTGTGGGAGGGCCTCTAGGCTGATGCCGCCGCTGAGCCCTGAACACCCCGGGTCAGCTGGCTCGCTGGCCTCAGGTGCCCCCTTACCAAGCTCAGGCTGGGATTGTTCTCTGCCTCCAAGGGTTTATCACAATCACAAACGTGTGCAACCCAAGAGCCTGCTCCTGCTGGGCAGTGCAGGGAGCCCCTCACATCACTGCCCCGCCCTCCTCCGCCAGCTCACCATTTGCCCGCTTCTTCACTGGTGCTCAGCCCTCCAGCTGAAGCAGAAAACAAGCTCCAGTGGAAGATGCTGATGAGGCCGCATTTCTCTGTTTTGCCTACAAGGATTTACAGAGACAAGGACTTCTAGCGGTCACAGCTGCAGCAGTCAGACATGGGGGGCTGGGGGAAGCGGGGAGGATCAGCCAGCAACTGCCCTTCCGAACACCCATGCTGCCAGCTCAGGCTCTGCCCCTGGACACAGGTGGGTGGGGAGTCCCCAGTGCCCTGCCTTCTCCCCCACCTTTAAGCTTGGCTTAGAGCCTCACATCCCCCAAGAGTGTCATGGGGAGGCAGGAAGGAGAGCTGCCTGAAGGAGGCACCGCTGGCCTGTCTCTCCCCAGCCAGCCCTCACAGCTGGAGGGGTAGCCCGGGGGTGCCGAGGAGCCAACTCTCCACACAAAGATGCTACACAGCTGCCCTAGCTGGTCCTTCTGAAGCCTGTAATGCAGCCCTGCTTCTGGCGGAGGGGATAGTTAAAAAAGCCCTAAGGGGAGAGGAAAGGGGGTGCTGCTGGGAGATGTGGGTGGCTTGGTGCTTTTGGTGATGCCACCCAGCCACTGTCCCCGAGGTGTCTGAGGTGTCTGGGCCCAGCACACTCACACCCCATGGACTCAGGGCAGTGAGCGCTGACCGCCTTTGGGTCACTCACACCCACTTTGACCTTCCAGCACCAGCTGCAAAAGGCCAGAGAATGGTCTGACTGAAGCAAATCATAGAATTTCCACATCAGGAAGGTCCCCCAGCGTCTACTGATGAGTGGCCGCCCAGTCTAGGGACGGAGAACTCACTGCCTGCAAAACTCCAACACCACTCCTTTCCTAGAGTGAAAACCTGCTTCTTGCCAATTTCTACCTCTCAGCCCGCTCTTACCTCAGGGGGTCACTCAGAACCCCTCCCTCCCCCCTCCCTCTGTTTGGAAGCAGCTGGGGGGTGGAAGGAGACTCTGGCTTTTCCTCTGGAAAGTAGAGATCACCACACTTCCTCAGATGGTCTGAGAAGATGAAATCTCATTTA